TAGGCCCCCGGTGCCCTCTGAGTGCACAGGATGGAGGCCCTTTCCCTCATTTCCTCCACATGCGTTGATTTGGTTTCAGTCAAGAGGTGTTCTTTCCCGGCCAGTTTTCTCACACTCGTCGTAGAAATGCTTTGGTTTGGGAGAGGGTCAGAGGCATCTTTAGCACTGTCTCTCTTGGCACACACTGTGGTCATAACATATGTTACACAAACAAGTAGGGCCAGCCCTGCCTTCTGAGAGCTGGCCAGCCTGGGGCCCCCTTGGAGGGGTGGCTTCTTGGAGAGACAACTGGAAAGCCGGTAACCTCATTATAACGGGGTATGATTCCCTGTTACTGCTCTTGGCAGTAAATGAAAATGTTCTTTGTCTGTTGTGCTCACAGGGAAAATAAGTAGTGAATTCAGAACAACTCTTAGCACCCATTAAAATTACTTTGTGATTCAACCTCTCCATCCTTGCTCTTCCCTACATCAGACGCCTGCAGGTCTTCCTGGAAGGAGGAAAAATACACACTGGGTGTTTCCTAGCACCCCTCCCACTCTGCTCCAGAACAGCCCAGAGCGAGACTCAGGGATGCGCTTGTAAGAACACTTGTGAAGGCTGCTCCCTCCCTTCAGCCCGTGGGCCCAGTAGTTGTAGCTCATGGTGCTAAAATGTTCTTCTGAATACCTCTAGCTGTTTCTACCCACCCCACCAGGATGCATTTTAAAAAGTGCTTATATCAAAAATGCATAGGCATTTATTTTAATTTACATGAAGGCCCAGATCAAAATGTCTACCAAGATGGGATGTGGTTTGCTGCCTAGTTTGGTCATTACAGCAGCTCTGAGGCAGAGAAAAATCCGAATTCCAGGTTTGTCCAGGTCGTGTCAGTGACTGAGGTGTTTTGGCTGACGGGGTTTACCTGGGTCCTCTGCTCCGTCAGGTGTCTTTGTGGGGGCTGGGGACTCAGGAGGAGACGCAGTGGCGGCGGCTGCGCTGATTTGAAAGCAGCCTCCACAGACTGACCCCATCCCACTCTCTGTAATTCTTTTTATCCTACCCTTTTGAAGCTAGAATGTCTAGATAAGTGTACTTCACACTTATTTTCTAACTTCACAGTGTGCTGGTGCGGGTGTGGGTTTGGAGGCCGTGTCCAAAGTCGTGACATCTCAGTAAAATGTTTCCTTCTTTCCCTCCAGAACTAGATTTTCATTTATCAACTACTTTCATCTTGTTTAATGGGATTAACCAAAATTCAGGTGTTTAGAGCATTAAGACTCAGTGCCCTTTTTCTATCCTGCCCAGAGCACAAGTAAGCAGTTTATCAGTGATGCGTCAGGAATGTTTTTCTGTATCATTTTCTTAACTGTTTAATATGTAGAATTCCAAAGAGGAAAGAATTGTTGATGAACGTCTGAAGTATCTATAACCTAGATGCAACGATTTTTACATATAGACTGTCTAATATGTTGAAATTCACTCGTCACTTCAACATCAGATAGGATTCATCATTTTGATTTGTATCATTACTGATTATGATAATCAATGTCGATAAAACTCTCATTGTCCCTCATCAACTAGTTGCTAATAACCAAGCATGTTGTGAGGCCGTGGAAAGGATAGATATAAAAATCAAGACTGGCCTGACAGGTGCACACTGCATTGCACACCGTGTCTGTCCTCATGGAGTTTACGGTCTCAGTAGGACTGGAGCAGCTGCACATGAACATGTGACGAACAGTGTAAGTTGGTTCAGAGAAAGAGAAGATTAGTCATGCTGAAGGGGTCCAGGAAGGAATTCTGCACAAGGGCTGGGAGTTGGACTGGTGCTTACAGAACACGTGCTTCAGGCCGAGATGCCAACCTGGAAGGAGCAGGGACACCACTGCCGCCTGGGCCAGGCATTGGCTCTGAGCTGCTCTGAGCGCTCCTGTGTCCTCAGCCCCTACTTCCCCATGGACCCCGTCTCCCTGAGGGCCAGCACTGCTCTGAGAGCCCCCTGTGGCTGCTCGTAGCCCCTCTGCCAGTGTCACATTTGTGTGCATTGCCTCCACGACAAAAATGAATTTGAAAACCTTGCATTGCATGTTAGCTTTCCTGAGCCTCCTGTGACACTGTTTACTTAGGAGTAGCATTCTGGCCGGTGTGGAGGAAACGCTGGGAGGGAAGACCGCTTTGCTAGGCCCTAGCCTGCTATGTCTGCACAGGTTCTAAAATTGTCCTGCAATAGGATGGGGTTGCTGTCCTTGGGTTAGTTTGCTTACAGGTGCAGAAAATGGCAGGAGTCTGGAAACACTTTGTTTTTGAATTTCGTCATTCTGCAACTTTCATATTCACACATCTACTGATAACTTTCAGAGTCCAGGATACAGTATATCACCAAGGGTTTTATGTTGTCATAAATCACATTGTTGGAATATATTTAATTAGATGAGAGCAAAGGTTGTATCTCCTCCGTGGCGGGACTGATACTGTATGCATTGGGCCACATTCTCCTGCTGGTCTTCTCACGTGCAACTCTTCGTTTCCCTTAGAAAGGGGAGGAAAGCTTTATTAAACATAAGCAGGGTGTCGTTCTTAGGCCTCCTCATGTCTGCTTTTCATCTCTGCTCCTTTCTCCTCGCTGCTCTTCTTTTGAAACATCAGCTGGTGCTCACTGAGCACACACTGTGTGCCAAGCCCTGTGGGAGGTGCCGGTCCCGCAGTGGGAGCCGCAGCCCGAGGCTCTTCACTGCACATGTTCCTCCTTCTCACCAGTGTTTCTCTTCAGGTGGTATCAGGGCATTGTGTTCAATTTTTTTTTTTTTTTTTGAGGAAGATTAGCCCTGAGCTAACATCTGCTGCCAATCCTCCTCTTTTTTTGCTGAGGAAGACTGGCCCAGAACTAACATCCATGCCCATCTTCATCTGTTTTATATGTGAGACACCTGCCACAGCTAAGCAGTGCTTAGGCCCACACCTGGGATCTGAACCGGCAAACCCTGGGCCACTGAAGCAGAATGTGTGAACTTAACTGGTGTGCCACCTGGCTGGCCCATGTTAATTTTTTTATTTAGCTTTGTAAATAATGTTTTAAAAGTGTATCAAAGTAATAAACACATAGATTATGTTTTAAAAATCAAAACATAATCCCCACCTAGAGGCAAACTCTTAGCTGTGTTTTTCTATTAGGTATAACCATCCATATTTTATTTATTTATTTATGTTGCTGAGGAAGATTAGCCCTGAGCTAACATCTGTGCTAGTCTTCCTCCACTTTATATGTGGGTCACTGCCACACTGTGGCCTGTCAGTGGTATAGGTCTGCACCTGGGATCCAAACCCGTGAACCCCGGCCACCAAAGCGGAGTGTGCCAAACTTAACCACTATGCCATGGTGCTGGCCCCTTTTAGAGCTTTTATACATGTTGCTTCCACTCCTCCATCCAGTATGGTTATAGATTTACTTTTTTAGTTCTTTTTATTGTGAATTTACCATTAAATGTTCTTTGCAACCAGACAAAGAGAAATGAATACAAAGTGGAAGGACTCCTCTGATGAGCCCCACATCCCCACTGCCCAGCTTCAGCATCCTTGCCACATGGCCTTGTCTCTGCACTGGCCTGCCCTCCTCGCTCAGGGTATCTTGAAGTTTGCACAGGTTCTAATGAAATAAAACCAGCATTCATAATATTCTGACTATTAAACTATGACTATTTACGTGACTATGTAAACATTGTTCACCAGAAAGCCAGGAAATGTATTTGGACCTAATTCTGGACTCTGTGTAGGGACTGCCTGGCCTGCTGCTCTCTTGGGCCCTGAGCTCACCATTTGAATTAGCAAGAGTCCAGAGGAGGCCTGGGCGCCCGGGAGGACTAGGGCCTGTGGTTTTCCTTTTTTAGTGTTTTCCCGGCTGTCCTTGGGTGTTGGTTTTTCCGTGTGAACTTCAGTAGCAACTTGTCTAACTCCATAAAATAGCTGGTCATATTTATTGGGCGTGCACTGACTTTGTCAGTTAACGTGTGGAGAACAGGTATCTTAAGATGTTGATGCATCTACCCCAGCAGGGAGCATCTTCCTACATTTCAAGTTTACTTCCAAGTTTTTTTAAAACTCTCCTTCTCTGGGTTTTGTACATTTCTTCTTTTGTTTATTCCTGTGTGTTTCATCTTCTTTGTTGCTATGTAAGTGGAGGTCCTTACATTCATGTCCTCTAAGCATTTACTGTTTGTATATATAAAGGCTATTGATTTTTGTGTGTTAATTTTAGGTCCTGCTAATTCAGTGAATTCTTTGCATCCATCGGCAAGGGTCCAGGCAGAAGTAGGTGGGAGCAGATTTAAGTAGGGCGAATATGATGGAGCTAAAGAGGGCAGCTTGTTTCCTTACTCTGTTTGGTTTTTTTTTTTTTTTTTACCTATAATGCTTTTGCTGTGTTTTGTCACAGGTTCCTGTACTTAAGTAAATTGTGTCTTCCATGTTCCAGATAGTTGTGTTTTTTTGTGTGCTGAGGAAGATTTGCCCTGAGCTAACATCTGTTGCTAGTCTTCCTCTTTGTTATTCCTTTTTTTTGTGTGTGAGCTTCTGTCACAGCATGGCCACTGACAGACCAGTGGTGTAGGTCTGTGCCTGGGAACCAAACCTGGGCTGCTGAAGTGGAGCACACCAAACTTAACCACTAGGCCACCAGGGCTGGCCCTTCCAGATAGTTTTTTCAATAGGATTCAGTGTTTCTGAGAAATAGTTTTGATATCACAGGGGCACTGCCTTTTGCTTAGTGTTCCCAAGTGACCATGTGACCATGTTATCGCAAGTGATTTTCATAGTAGTTCTCAATAAATATTTATTGAATAGATGAATTTTCACAACCACCCTGTGAGGTGGTCATTATCCCAGTTTATAGATGGAGAGACTTGGGGTCACTTGTCCAGGGCCAGGCAGCTATTAAATGCAAACTCAGAGTAAGGAATGGAGTATGTACTCCAGGTATTCCCATGAATCCATTATAAGTTTCTTGCTTTTTTCTCCTGTGACAGGCCCGGTACAAGCAGAGCCTCGATCCAACTGTGGATGAAGTGAAGAAGCTTTGCACGTCGTTACGCCGAAACGCCAAGGAGGAGCGGGTTCTCTTCCACTACAATGGCCACGGGGTGCCCCGGCCCACAGTGAATGGGGAGATCTGGGTCTTCAACAAGGTGGGCGTGCCGTGGAGGCTCCTGTGAACCAAATCCATTTCTCTTTCTGCGAAAAAGTGTGTGCGGTTTTGGTGGTCAGCTGCAGGTCCTCTTCCTCGGTAGCTTGAATTGGACCGTTGATGTTGAATCCGTTTCCACAATCCCAAAGGCAGGACGACTGAATAGGACAATGGGCCAGTTATCTGGTGGGAAGTTTTGGAATCATTTCTGTTTCAGTGATAACAATTGAAAAATAATCAGGCATAGGAGTTGTTTCTGTTGTAAAATATGTTAACGAAATGACTGCCTAGAAAGTCATGAGGTGTGGGGTCTGTGATTTATTTTTCCCTCCATGAGGATATGAGTTCTTATAGTTCTTTGAGGAAAGACCTCAAGATTAGCAGCCTTCTAGTTGGAACAATTGCAAGATTTCTGAATTCAGTTAGAATCTTCCTTTGAGGATCAGCGATTTTCCTCGGGAATAAAATAGCATAGGTATTCCAAAGAGCTGACACCAAGGACCCTGCAGACAGCCTCAGCTCTGCCCTCTCCAGGGTCGACATTGCTGGCCTCTTGCAGTTCCTTCATCAAAAGACTGTGGGTGAAAGTGAGGGGTAGGTGACACCCCTTCCGCCATCTTCCTGAGCTGTGTGTGCTGAGTTTCATCCTCTGTCCTCAGTGCAGGAACTTTGGCCCCCTGAGAGCAGCCAGGCCGCACTGCTCTTATCATCTTCTTCATGAAAGCCTCTACCTGGGGGTGCGCAGTGCTCAGCCTGTGTGGCCACTCCCTACGTCCTTAACCTTGTACACAAGGGTGTTGATTCTGGGATGCAACCAGCTCGAGTTCAGATCTCAGCCATACTGCTTTATTAGCTCTAGGACCTTGGACGAATGGGTAACTTCCTGGACTTCTGTTTCCTTACTATGGAAGCTGCTTCACAGTGTTGTGGTTAGGATTAAAAGAGGTGGAACATATAAAGTACCTAACAAACCACTCGACTGCCGGCTGTCCCATTTTCTCTGCTCCTCTCTGGCACAGGTGGCCACGCAGTGTAGGCAGCTGAAACAATTGGAGTGGCCTAGAGGAAAAGGCGTGTAGACAGGTCCAGACCCAGCTCCTGCCTCAGGGCTAATGCTGCCTCTTCCTTGGATGTATCTAGTAACAACTTAATCTTAATTGTTTTTATTTCATAGTGGATAGATTCAAAACTATAATTATAGAAAAAGTAGAATGTAAAGAAACATGATATAACAAACTGCCAGATACCCAGCAGCCACTTCAGAAAATGACCTTTTGGAGTCTCTGTGTGCCCTCCTTAGTCTCACCCCTGTCTCTACCCTCCCCCACAAGATAAGAGGCCCAATGAGTTTTGAGTTTGTCACCACCTTCCTTTCCTTTAGAGCGCCGCCTGTGTGGCTCTCAGCCCCGTGGGGATTGGCTGTTTCTAGTGACGAGAGGGAGATCGTGGTGCACATGCTCTTCCTGCTCAGAATTACGTGGGGGATCTGTCCCCACTGCTGCTGCGCCCGTCTTCTTCCCTGGGGTCCACTGCCAGGTGTGACATGTTTCAGGACCCTCTGTGCGGATGGACGTTCGGGTTGGTTCTCGTTTTGTCCCGATCTGAACCACCTGAGTGCTTCTGTCACCCGCCCTCCTTGCCCACACTGTCGTCAGGATTTTCTGTCTGTAGGGGTTGGTGGGTGTGAAGGGATGTACGGTGGTGTCTCTCGAGTCTCCCTGCGGACTGCGAGGGTCAGGCGCCTTCTGATTGGTGTGGTGGCCGTGTGGGCCTCCTCCGCTTGAAGAGCCGTGTGCTCTCCGTTTTTCACTTGGGTTGTGTGTCTTTTTCTTATTGATTTGGAGGAATTCTTTATATTCTGGACAGTAATCCTTTATCATTTTTATGAATTGTAAATGTCTTCTCTGAATTTATGGCTTGCTGTATTGGTTGGTTTGTTTCTGTTCTCTTTACGGTGTCCCGTAGTGGACAGGAGTTCTTTATTTTGAAATGCTCAATTTGGTCAGTCTTCCTTTAGGGCGTGGGCATTTTCTGTCTTCTTTAAGAAGACTTTCCTTATGCCAAGGTTACAAAAATATTCCACTTTATGTTCTTCCAAAAGTGTTATATTTTTGTCCATTGCATTTAGGTCTTTAATCTACCTGGAAGTGATTTTTGTACATACTGTTAAGAAGGGGTTCAATTCATTTCTTTTTCCAAATGGATTCCTGCCTGTTCCATTACCATTTAATGCCAGCTTTGAACTGAACAAGTTCGCATAGCGTGTGTGTATGTCTCTGAGCTCTCTGTTCTGTTCCATGCGTCCACCTCTGTGTAAACAGTGTCACTGGGTGCAGGTTTTCAGCGCTGCGTGGTGCTCAGGAAGGTGCACTTCCCTCTTTGTTCTTCAGAGGCGTCTCGGCTGTTCTCGGCCCTTTGATCTTCCATGAAAATCCTGAAACGACTTGTAAATCAGTGGATTAATGAGGGGGGACTCAATATCTTGACACTGTTGAGTCTTCCAGACTTTGCTCTTTTTAGTGTCTGTCAATGGTATTTTATAATTTCATAAAGGTTTGTATAATTTGTTAGATATATTCTTAGATACTTTATATTTTTTGATGTTGTTGTAAATGTTTACTAGAAAAATTATATTTTATAAGTTTTTACCAAGGTGTATGAAAAGGCAGTTGACTTTTGTACATTTATTTTATATCTACTAATTTTGCTACTGTCTCTTGTTGATTCTAATAGTTTATCTGTACATACGTTTAGATTTTCTCAATAGGCTGTCGCGTCATCGGCAGAGATGGCCGTTGTCTTTCTTTCCCTCCAGGCTTGCGCCTTTGATTGTTGTTCTCTCTCACTGTGCTGGCTAACTCCTCCCAAGGAGTGACGTCCCGACTGGGGAGTCTCTTTCAGTCCTCATTTCCAAGGGAGTGCTTTAAAAAGAAGAAAAGATAAGAAAGTCCCTTATCAGATTAGAAAATGACCTTCTATTCCTAGTTTATTTTTTTAAAATCGTGAATAGATGTTGCATTTTTGTAAGTCATTATGTATGTGTGTATGTGTGTGGGTAAGATGATCATATGATTTTTCTCCTTTAAACTGGCAGTGCATTGAAGGATACGTGATTTTCTAATATGAAGTACACCTTTCATTTGTAAGGTAGCCCACAAACGTGTCATTATGAATTATCTGTTTCATGCAGGGTTTAGTTTGGTTTGTTGGTATTTTGTTTAATATTTTTACATCAGTGTTCATGAGTGAGATTGGCTTGTGATTGTTCTTTCTCTTGCCAGCTTTGCATAAGCAGTATAACTGTGGCCTTAGAAAATAGGTTGAGGCAATGTTGCTTTTTAGATACACTGGGATAGTTTTTGTGAGATTTGAAATATGTGTTGTCTGAATATTTGGTGGAATACAGACAAAGCTGTCTGGCTGACATTTTGTTTGTGGAGAGATCTTTGACTACTGACTTCGTTTCTTTTATTGGTAAAGGGCTATTTGGATTTTCTATTTCTTCTTGAGCCAGCTTTGCTGACTTACTTTTGTAGGAATTTGTCCATTTCAGCTTATTCAAATTTGTTGATGAAAAGTGGCTCACAATGTTCTGTTGTTAATTTATCGAAGTCTGGGTTAGTGATGTTTCCTTTTTCGTTCTTGATGCTGACAGTTGATGTCTTTTTTTCTTCTTAATCTCTGTTACCAGAGGTTGCTGTACATTTCATTAGCCTTTTCAAAGAATCAACATTCAACTTTGTTGATCCTCCAGCAGGGTTGAAAGAACAGTAGAAGGAATACTTTTATACAATCATCCACTGCATAACGACGTTTCGGTCAAAGATAGACAGACCGTATATTCGACAGTGCTCCCGTAAGATCAGTACCACACAGCCTAGATGTGTAGTAGGCTGTACCATCTAGGTTTGTGTAAGTACACTCTGTGATGTTTGCACAATGACAGCATCGCCTAATGGTGCATTTCTCAGAACGTGTCCCTGTCATTAAGCAACGCACGACTGTGCTTTTCTCCTGTATTCAGCAGTTAGCACTTTGCCACATTTGCTTTATGGATTTGGAGTTTAGCCCTTCTAGTTAGGTGCATAGTGGTATCTCATTGTTGTTTTAATCTGCACTTCCTTAATAACCTGTGACGTTGAGCATCTTCTCATATGCTTATTTGCCATCTGTATGATTTTCTTTGGTGGGCTGTCCATATCTTTTTTATCAGATATGTGTTTTGTGAATACTTTCTCCCAGTCTGTGACTTGTGTTTTCATTCACTGAACAGTGGGCATTGACTTTTTTTTTTTTTTTTGAGGGAGATTAGCCCTGAGCTAACATCTGCTGCTAATCCTCCTCTTTTTGCTAAGGAAGACTGGCCCTGAACTAACATCTGTGCCCATCTTCCTCTACTATATATGTGGGACACCTGCCACAGCATGGTTTGATAAGCGGTGCTGCGTCTGCGCCTGGGATCCAAACTGGTGAACCCTGGGCCACCTAAGTGGAGCACGTGGACTCAACTGGGCCAGCCCTGGCACTGACTTTTTGAAGAGTTTAGATCAGTTATCTATCCTCTAGAATGTCCCACATTCTGGTTTAATTTCTTTGTTTTTTCATGAGTTTATATAAGACTGGATAAAAAGCAAGGTCAAACTTTGTGCTGTCCACGAGAGATGCACTTTAAATATAAAGACATAAAGGTTGAATGTAAAAAGATATACCATGCAAATACTACTAGTTGTAAGAGAGCTGGAGTGGCCATATTATTAACCAGAAAATAGACTTCAAGACAAGGAGTTTTGCCAGAAATGAAGAGGGACAGTTCATAGTGACAGACAGGTCAGGTCATCAGGAAGATGTAAACCATCCTGAATGTGTATACACTTAATATGAGAGTTCTCAGTACATAAATCAACATTGCCAGAACCGAAGGGAGAAAGAAACAAATCCGTAATTCTAGTTGGAGATTTGAATAACAGTCTGTCAGTAATTGCTAGATTAAAACTGAACTTA